TAGTTGTAGCACGAATGATTTGGCTCAACCGGGGAAGGACCACGCTCTCACAGAATAACAGCGTGATATAGTAGTTTAATGGTGCTGTATTTCGTATGGTGAGTGTAGAGAACCGGAGACCCTTTTTACTGGAAACGAGGCATTCCATCTTAGTCCTCACGGGTGACAACGCATCTGCATTTTGTTTTGAAATCGAGTAGATGTATATGGGCCGCAGCAACCACTTACCATCAGGTGGACTGTGTGCTCGTTTGTCACCCTATTCTATAAAAAAATTAAATTAAATTAAGTAAAACTTTTACGGAAAAAATATTACCGTAAAACTTACTTCCAATCACAGATAATATAATAAAAGCACGACAGTTGAATTAGGGATAAAAATATAGTATTTTCCGTACCAAATTCATCATTCATCATTACAGCCCTTCACAAGTCCACTGCTGAACATAGGCCTCCCCCAAGTAATGCCACAAAGCACGGTCCTGAGCCCCCTGCATCCATCGACTTCCTGCATGTCTTACCAGGTCGTCACTCCATCTAGTAGGGGGTCACCCTACACTACGCCTACCGGTACGAGGCTGCCACTCGAGAACCTTTCTTCCCCATCGGTTATCGGTTCTTCGAGCTATATGGCCGGCCTATTGCCACTTCAGCTTACTAATCCGTTGGGCTATGTCGGTCACTCTGGTTTTACTGCGGATATCCTCATTTCTGAGTCTATCACGCAGTGAAACTCCGAGCATAGCCCTCTCCATAGCTCGCTGAGCGACCTTGAGCGTCATCATACGGCCAGCGGTGAAGGACCACGTCTCAGATCCGTAAGTCATCACTGGCAACACGCACTGGTTATACACCTTAGTTTTCAGAGATTGAGGTATACCTGACGAGAAGATGTGTCGTAATTTCCCGAACGCTGCCCAACCGAGTTGAATCCGTCGATTGACCTCTCGGTCGAAGTTGGACTTACCTAGTCGGACTATTTGTCCCAGGTAAACGTACTCGTCAACAACTTCGACCATAGTGCTCCCAACAACTACCGGCATAGGTGTTACATGGACATTAAACATGATCTTTGTTTTGTCCATGTTCATCTTAAGACATATCCGTTGGGAGACACCATTGAGGTCATTGAGCATAGTGCTAAGGTCCTCCAGCGATTCTACCATAAGGACTATATCGTTGGCAAATCGAAGGTGAGTGATGTACTCGCCATTGATGTTAATACCGTATCCTTTCCAGTCCAGTAGCTTGAAAACGTCTTCCAACGCAGCAGTGAAGAGTTTCGGGGATATAACATCACCCTGTCTTACACCTCTCTGCAGTTGGATAGGTTTCGTACTCTGGTTCTGTACTCGGATAGCCATCGTAGTCCTACTGTACAAACACTTCAGCACTTCAATATACCGACAGTCAACTAGGCACCGCTGAAGGGACTGAAGCACCGCCCAAATTTCGACGGAATCAAAGGCTTTCTCATAGTCCACATACGCCAGGCAAAGTGGCAGATTGTACTCTTCAGTCTTTTGTACAACCTGTCGTAGGTCTATGGTACTGAAGCCTTTTCGGAAACCGGCTTGTTCGGGAGGCTTCAAGTCGTCGAGTCTGCGTGCGAGACGATTCGTAATGACTCTCGAAAACAGCACGTAGACGCGGCTCAGAAGGGAAATCGGTCTGTAGTTCTTCAAGAGAGCGTTGTCGCCTTTCTTAAAGAACAAGACCACCGCGCTTTTGCTCCACGCCTCCGGAGTAGTGCCACAATGGAGGACGGAATTGAAGAGCTTCTGAAGGACTTCAAGTACCGGTGTTCCACCCGCTTTCAGAAGCTCCGCTGTAATTCCATCCTCGCCCGGGGCCTTGCCGTTTTTAAGGTGGTGGAGAGCCATTCTAATCTCGCTCAGACTGACGTCCGGGATATCATCGGAATAATGTCGGATAAGACTTGCTCTTGGATCGTTACTCACACTTGCGTGTGGCTCCAACGATGATGTGTACAGCTGCCCATAGAAACTCTCTATCTCACTCAGAATCTCAGGTGTCCCGGAAACGATGTTGCCACACTCAGTCTTCAGCTTTGACAGTTGGCTCTTTCTGGCAGACAGATCTCTGGCAAAGACTTTGGAGCCCTGGTTCCGCTCGATCGCTTCTTTAATACGAGCAGTATTAAAGTTGCCGCATGCATTTGGAGATCTGTCTGTTCAGTTGCCTGTATGCTGTCAAATCTGTTGACGATTGCAGCCTCATCTCCCGTCTAACAGCCATGAGATTAAGAGTGTGATCGGAGAGTTTTTGTGTTCTTCTGCGGCGGGTCTTGCAGAACTTAGCTCCGACCGCATGGACAGTTTCCACGAGCTTGTCATTCATATCGTCCACTGCATTGCAATCCTCTAGGCACTGAAAGCGGTTTTGTAACTCGAGCTGAAAGGTTTCGGGATTCTGGATTAGAGCACGAGGGGGGACGGAGCGTTGACTTTATTAGACGAGACCTCTCCAACTTAACATTTAGGTTCAGTGTGCCTCTAACCATTTGGTGATTGCTGCCAGTTTTCACCCTTGCGATCATCACTGAACAGTTGGCGTCTGGTCGTCATAATGAAGTCAATCTCATTTTTTGTCGAACCGTCGGGGCTCGACCAGGTCCACTTCCCGTGGGGCCGCTTCTGGAAGAAAGAAGTCATCATAAAGAGTCCCTCTTTCTCCATAAAGTCGGCCAGCTGCTGGCCCCTTCGGTTCCGTTGCCCTACTCCAAATTTCCCCACCTTCAGCTCACCGCTTTCTCTTGTGCCTAGTTTTGCGTTGAAGTCTCCCATCAACACCGTGTAGTGGGTTTTGGAGGAATGCATGGCTCTGGAAATATCCTCATATATTTCCTCCACCTCCTCATCGGGATGTGCCGAGGTTGGTGCGTAAACCTGTATGACCTTCAGCGAATACCGTTTGGTGATTCTGAGTATCAGGTACGCGACCCTCGTCGACACACTCCCAATCTTTACAACGTTGTTACGAGAGACTTGTGGACGATAAATCCGACACCTCCTTGGGACAGATGGGCGCCCTCCCGGTGGTAGAACAAGTTGCCGGACTCGAGGAGTGCCGTATCCTCCCCCTCTCTTCGGACCTCGGATATTCCAATAATATGCCAGCGCAACTTGTCTACCTCTTCTTCCAGCTCCAGTATCTTCTCGTCAGTCCTCAAAGTGCGTGCGTTATATGTTGCCAGGTCGAGTCGTCGTAGGTGGCAACCGAACCTCCATCGGAGATTCTTAGCACCCCCTGCCCCGCCGTTACCATGGTCGCCACCGTAGCCAGGAATAGCGGGGCCGCCGGGGACTGGGGGCCGTTTTTTTGCGTCGTTATTCATGGGGGGATATTTGCCATAGTTGCCACGCTTGGCGAGCGGGAATGTGGCAAACGACGAATCAACCGCAGTTTTTTATTATAACACAGTTGTTATCAGAAAGATGCTGCTGCCCATCTCCTGCCTGTCTCCCTCTGTCGCCCCTTACGACACCCACGGGAAGATATGGGGTAGTGGATATTCTCAACCGCCACTACACGGCACATATTAGTTTTCTGTAATATATAGGACAAGTGACTGAAATATAGAACGAAACTATATAATATTATAGTACGGGTGGCAACCCTACATGAAATGTATGCAGTTATATGTCTTTCTTTCTTTATTACTAAATCCTTGTTATACTAAATGCCTGTCACCTACAAAATACATTATTATTATTCCAAAACAATAATGGTGAAACATTAATGTGATTTTGTTCCAAAAGGAAAACTATTATTGTATACTCTGTAGCTGGTGAAGAATACGTCATCTTTTGTCGAAAATAGGGTAGGCCCCTTGTCATTTCTTCACTTTGAAATAATGACATTGAACGATTTTATCAGTAACATTTTACGCCCTCAGTCTTACTTGATTGATGTTACATAACGACCGATTGTAATTTTGATGTCGCTTTTGTATCTCTAATAAGGCACATACTGTACGTATTTTTTTAATGAAAGAATTGTTATAAAATTTAGATCATTTCGCAACATTAAAAATATTTTGTATTTATAAGTAGGTACTTCATAAAAAATAAAATTGATAAAGTAAAATTTTATGGGTTTAGTTACTTGCTTGGAATTCTAAATTAATAAAATTAATTTGATTTGTGGTTTAGCGTAGAAGATAACATCAATTGATTTTGTCGCGTATTTATTAGGTGAAAAAATAGCCCTTTTGTCATTAAAAGAGATACTCCGTATATATAGTACTCCGGATACTTAGTACTCCGGAGGCGTGGAGCAGAAGCGCGGTGGTCTTGTTCTTTAAGAAAGGCGACAACGCTCTCTTGAAGAACTACAGACCGATTTCCCTTCTGAGCCGCGTCTACGTGCTGTTTTCGAGAGTCATTACGAATCGTCTCGCACGCAGACTCGACGACTTCCAGCCTCCCGAACAAGCCGGTTTCCGAAAAGGCTTCAGTAGAAGATAACATCAATTGATTTTGTCGCGTATTTATTAGGTGAAAAAAATAGCCCTTTTGTCATTAAAAGAGATACCTACTGTGTGTGCCATAATTTTCATATGTCAAAGATTCATATTACATCGTTCATCATGGTTTTACTTTGAGTTTTTACTTTCTCTCAGAACATTCGCATCAGTTTTTTATACGTGGTAGAGCCACACTGCATCTATATTATGTTTGTAGCACGAATGGGTCGGCTCGACCGGGGGAAGTACCACGCTCTCACAGAATACCAGCGTAAAATAGCAGCTTAATACTGCTGTGTTTCGTATGATGAGTGTAGAGATGCGGAGACCCTTTTTAACCGGAAATGAGGCATTCATCTTAGTGCTCAGAGGTGACAACGCATCGGCGTATTTATTAATCGAGGATAAATGTAGATGTCTATGGGCCACAGCATTCACCTACCATCACTCTGGTTGGTCACTCTTATTCTATAAAAAAAAAGGTTTGATCTGACTTTATCTTTCATTTCAGTTCAACTCCGTTCTAGAAGGAAGGCGGCCAAGATGTTAGTGGCAGTTGTCGTTATGTTTGCGGTATGCTACTTCCCGGTCCACCTGCTTTCTGTGCTCAGGTAAACAGTGGTTTATATAAAGTCTTTATATACAAAAATGACCGTGATGAACACTTAACCACAGAACTGATTTCAATAAAAAATTCACACTGTGTGCAGTTTGGTCCAATTTGAGATACATTTTTTATTTCTTTACTGCGAATTTAAGGATTTTTATAACAATTATCGTCGGAAAGGGCAGAAGAACGTCTGCCTGAACAGCTCGAGGACTCTTGCCTCTCAGCCTGCACTGGCTCTGTATAACTTTCGAACCGTAAGAGCAGGGCAAGCACAGCTGAGTTGCAAAATTATAAAGAAGGTGTTACGTACGCAGAAGGACTCTGAGGCAAAAAAGGAGTCCCAGTGAAGTAAGAAGTACTTAATAGGTTTTGTGCAAGGCATATTAAAAATATCTGTGCAATTCATTAAAGTAATTATGTACTTACTTATTACTATAGGATCGAGCCACACGTACGAGAAAATGTGGTCACGTGTCAATAGTGTCGCTGCAGCTGTTTGCAAGTCCCCCCCGAACGGGTTCCCGCCTTGTCGTGGCGGGGGGCTTAGTAGCCGTGGCTTGGTCTCCCACGGTGAACAAAGAGGAACCCACGTGGCTGGCCCGAGGTGAAGGGCCGGCCTGAGGTGGCCGCTCCGAGTGGGCTTGGGGAGCCCACTTCGGATGTGTGCTGGTGGACTGCAGCGAGTGGGGACTCGCGCACCCTCTACCGCTGCAGCCGAGGTGGAGTCGCGGAGGAAGAGGAGTGTTGGTATGGCGATGCGCCACTCGCCCTATCCTTCGCGACTCAAACGGGGCCGCACCGTTGATGCGGTGGTGGTAGGGCTGTGGGGGGAGAGGATTGTCGGTATTGCGAGGCGCCGCTCTCCCTACCCTCCGCAGCCGAATCTTGGTTGGCGGCGGAGCCATAGACCAGATCCGCCGCTGGGGTCGGGAAGGCTAGTACTTCTAAGTGCTCGTTTTTCCTGGCCCCATGGCCTTTGTGCATCGGACGCGGGGGGCGTCTGTTGCACAGACGTAGTTGGAGGCCGTGGAGGAAGGCGCGCCATGTATTCTGGTGCGCCTTACCTGGGAAGGAGAACGGGGAGGAATTTTCCTCTCCCGAGGAGGGGCTGCCATGGGGCGGCAGGCGCTAGTAGGGCCGCGGAGGTGTGCGAAAGCGTTCCCGTAGCCCTGCCAATATGCGACAACGGTGGAACACCATGGGGTTTTAGTCGGTGCGAGTCCGACATAACCCGTCCTTGCCCCCGCGAGGCGGGTATGCGTAGGCATTTCCCCATGCAAAAAAAAAAAAGCTGTTTGCAAGTAGCGTTGTGGTTCGTAGTGGTAGTTTTTGTGTAAATTTTTATTATGTTGTTTGCGATGTCCTAGTTCCGTGTGGTTCCATAATGGTTGCATCGTGGCTGGGTTGTGGTCGGTGTCACTTACGCAATCGATAATGACGTCAAAAGTACATGTAAATTGTACTATTCATTTCCAATACAAAATGCGTCCGCCTACTTTTGTGGTTGTGGTTGTGGTACGTGTGGGTATAGTCATATTCCACCATTGAAGTAGTATCTTATATATTACTTCAATGGTGGAATTTAGGATTAAATCTACTGCATTTAGCTTTATTATTGTACCATAATCGAATTGCTTTTCTATTAAATAACTTTTGAGTATTTTAGCAGAGTGTCAGTAAATCAAATGAATTTTTGAACACAATATTAAGTATTTTGAAGTGGATTTCACTGAAAGTGCAATTTAGGATTAAATCTACTGCATTTATCTTTATTATTGTACCATAATCGAATTGCTTTACTATTAAATAACTTTTGAGTATTTTAGCAGAGTGTCAGTGAATCAAATGAATTTTTAAACACAATATTAAGTATTTTGAACTGGATTTCACTGAAAGTGCAATTTAGGATTAAATCTACTGCATTTATCTTTATTATTGTAACATAATCGACTTGTTTTTCTATTAAATACCTTTTGAATATTTTTAGCAGAGTGTTACTGACACTCTGCTAAAATATTCAGAATCAAATGAATTTTTAAAGACAATATTAAGCTTTTCAAGTGGATTTCACTGAATGTTCGAAATTAGTATCCTTAATTCCATGTGAGATAAATACATTCTTAATGCATGACATTTAGACGTCGTATTTAGGCGCGATTACGACGTCCAAATGTCATGCAGGATTGGAATAGAATAATTGTAGATGAATAATTTGATATTATCTTTCAGCATATACCTAATTACATCATCATCATCATCATTACAGCCCTTCACAAGTACACTGCTGAACATAGGCCTCCCCCAAGTAATGCCACAAAGCACGGTCCTGAGCCACCTGCATCCATCGACTTCCTGCATGTCTTACCAAGTCGTTACTCCATCTAGTGGGGGGTCGCCCTACACTACGCCTACCGGTACGAGGCTGCCACTCGAGAACAATTCTTCCCCATCTTCTTCCCAACTTCAGCTTACTAATCCGTTGGGCTATGTCGGTCACTCTGGTTTTATTGCGGATATCCTCATTTCTGAGTTTATCACGCAGAGAAACTACGAGTATAGCCCTCTCCACAGTTCGCTGAGCGGCCTTGAGCGTCCTCATACGGCCAGCAGTGAAGGACCACGTCTCAGAACCGTAAGTCATCACTGGCAACACGCACTGATTGTACACTTTAGTTTTCAGAGATTGAGTTATACCTGACGAGAAGATGTGTTGTAATTTCTCAAATGCTGCCCAGCCGAGTTGAATCCGTCGATTAACCTCTCGGTCGAAGTTGGACTTACCTAGTCGGACTATTTGTCCCAGGTAAACGTACTCGTCAACAACTTCGAGCATAGCGCTCCCAACAACTACCAGCATAGATATGACATGGACATTAAACATGATCTTTGTTTTGTCCATGTTCATCTTAAGACCTATCCGTTGGGAGACACCATTGAGGTCATTGAGCATAGTGCTAAGGTCCTCCAGGGATTCTGCCATAAGGACTATATCATCGGCAAATCGAAGGTGAGTGATGTACTCGCCATTGATGTTAATACCGTATCCTTTCCAGTCCAGTAGCTTGAAAACGTCTTCCAACGCAGCGGTGAAGAGTTTCGGGGATATAACGTCACCCTGTCTTACACCTCTCTACAGTTAGATAGGTTTCGAACTCTGCTTCTGTACTCGGATAGCCATCGTAACCCTACTGTACAAATACTTCAGCACTTCGATACCGACAGTCAACTTGGCACCGCTGAAAAAAAGGCTTTCTCATAGTCCACATACGCCAGGCAAAGTGCCAGATTGTACTCTTTGGTCTTCTGTACAATCTGCCGCAGGGTATGTATGTGGTCTATGGTACTGAAGCCTTTTCGGAAACAGGTGTCGGAGGCTGGATCGTCGAGTCTGCGTGCGAGATGATTCGTAATGACTCTCGACAACAGCACGTAGACGCGGCTCAGAAGGGAAATCAGTCTGTAGTTCTTCAACCTAATTACAGGTTCAGCAAAATTATAAAATAAAGATAGAAGAAATTAAACGAAATGAGACAATGGTTGTCTATATTACGACTTAAAAAATTAAAATTTTATTTCAAGTTGTTAAAAATTAATTTGCTTATATCCGCGTAATGAAATAAAATTATGTGTCTTACTTAGTTGAAGAGCACCTAACGCCCTACCTCACACTTCATTTTATTTCATTACGTGTATTTAAGCAAATTAATTTTAATAGCTTTATATAATTAATTTCCGTGTAAGTAACGTCTAATTCTATTAATTATATTAAAATTATTTGGTAAACGTCAAAATTCATTAAAGTCTACTACACGTAGTGATTTATTATTAATCTACTGTATATATGTTATGGATCAAGTGATTTATCACAGCACTATTTATACGTGGTTGAGCCACGTTGCACTATACTGTGGTTGTAGCACGAATGGTTCGGCTCGACCGTGGTAAGACATGGTGAGTCTAGAGAACCGGAGACCCTTTTTACTGGAAACGAGACATTCCATCTTAGTGCTCAGGGGTGATAACGCATCTGCATTTTTATTCTTAATCAAGATTAAATGTAAATTTCTATAGGCCACAGCATTCACTTACCATCAGGTGGACTGTGTGCTCGTTTGTCATCCTTATACAATAAAAAAATGCTGCCACTGAAACGTTTTCGCTAACTTCTACAGCTCCACCGACACCAGCCGCCCCTACTTAGAGGAGGAATTCTCCTCCCCATTTTCCTTCCTACCCCCGAGCCAGATATGCCAAGGCATTATTAAATTTATCTTTTTAAAACGAATTTCCTGTCTTTTTCAGATACACCTTAGACATGGAGCAGAATGATGTCATCACCTTACTTGCTCTTCTGTCGCATGTCATGTGCTACGCCAATTCTGCGATCAATCCACTGATATACAATTTCATGAGTGGTAAGTTTTTTTGACCGTGTTGAGGCGGTGTAAGAATATCCACTATTCCATATCATCTCGTGGATGTTATAAGAGGCGACAGAGGGAACAGAGGCAGGAGATGGGCAGCAGCACTTTCTGATGACAATTCAAAACTATAAAATACTACGATCGTCAACCCACTCGCCAAATGTGAAAGCTATAGCAAAATCCCCCCTAAAAGAAAATCTTTAAGGGAGGCCTATGTTAAGCAGTGGACTTTTATAGGCTGTGATGGATGGAGTTCTTTTGATATTATTTGCGTAGTGTCGCGACGTCCTAAGAGAATCCCATCACACTATTTTGATATTAGTTGCGTAGTGTGGCGACGTCCTAAGAGAATCCCATCACACTATTTTGATATTAGTTGCGTAGTGTGGCGACGTCCTAAGAGAATCCCATCACACTATTTTGATATTAGTTGCGTAGTGTGGCGACGTCCTAAGAGAATCCCATCACACTATTTTGATATTAGTTGCGTAGTGTGGCGACGTCCTAAGAGAATCCCATCACAATATTTTGATATTAGTTGCGTAGTGTGGCGACGTCCTAAGAGAATCCCATCACACTATTTTGAACCGTAGATAGTAGCGTCATAAATGCGAAACATCTTTATTTCTACAATCAGGGTAACTAACGGCCATACAGTGTAGTTGATGGTATATGGATGCGGTGGCCAATAGACATCTACATCTATCCACGATTAAGAATCAAAATGCAGATGCATCACCCCTGAGGAGTAAGATCGAATTATTTTCCAGCAAAAGGGGCATGCCATAACGAGACATTCCATAAGGCCCGATACATTCTAGGAAAAAGGGTCCCGTTTCTCTATACCCTCGTTTTCATTCCCAGGTCGAGCCTACCTATTCGTAATATAACCATAATATAGCTACAGCATTAGCAACAGTTGACTACCACGTTGCTCTTTTTAATTTAATTTAATTTTTATAGACTAAGTATGACATACGAGCACACAGTCCACCTGATGGTAAGTGGATCTTATGGCCAATAGACATTTGCATTCACCCTCCAAGAATCAAAATGCAGATGCATCGTTACCCCTGAGGATAAATATGTAATGCCATGTATCCAGTAAAAGGGGTTTCCGGTTCTCAATACTTAGGTTGAGTTGTAATATTCGTTAGGCTACTCAAAAGGTTAAAAAATAAAACTTTTAATGAAAAAGAAAAGGCCGACTTCCAGTGATCAAAACTACTGAAATAACTCCACACGACAGCTTCAGAAGTGCTAAGACATAATTAAAACTACTTTTACGGATTTTATCGCGTTTATTTTTTACTTTTTATTTACTTTTATTTTTAATTCCCGACGTTTCGGGCGCTTTCCAGCACCCTGGTCACGGGGGACTGACCATGGGTGCTGGAAAGCGCCCGAAACGTTGGGAATTAAAAAAAAAAGTAAATAAAAAGTAAAAATAAACGCGATAAAATCCGTAAAAGTAGTTTTAATCATGTACAGTGTTCGCGTAAATATAAGAAATCATTATGCTAAGACATAATTAAAGCACTTATTGAGCCGTAGTAGCTAAGTGAACGGGCCTTCGATTTCATTAATCACGCAAATTTTATTTTACGGCTATTTATTTACAGACACGATACGATAAAAAACATAATTAAATATTTAACTTTTAATAAATTTTATAGACGTAAGGGGGGTTCTTCCCAGCGGCAGCTTGGCTTTATCATTAAAATATTCATTAATTTTCCCTATATTTCAGGTAAATATCGAAGGGAATTTCGCCGGGCGTTCTGCTGTACATCGAAACCGATCCACGAGACTCTTACTATTACAACTCGAATACTATCCAGAAATAAGAAACAAGGCAGTCTTCAAAGCGATAAAGACCAAAGAGAATACGCCTGTAATCCATCTGTGATTAGAAACAGCATTCGAAACACTTACTTACAATAGATGATTTGATGTTATGGCTGTCGTCAAGTAGAGTTTAAATTAATAAGCTAGCAAATGTGTAGATATTAATATAAGTTTCTATTTTTGTGTATGACGACGATAGTCATTTAGATTTAACGCAATACCAATATCAATAATGTAGAATGCAGGTAAACTAGAAAACTATCATAAGGCTTGCCAGATTTTTATTTGTCCCAGTTTAATTTAACAAAAGAAAAACGATTGTCTTTTTTATAAATTGGGATAGAAGGGTAATATAATTATATATACTCTTTTATTATTTATACCACAATATATTTTACAGATGAACATGTAAATTTCAACATGTTTTTATCCAAACTTACCTATATAATATTTAAGTTATTTCTGCAAATAGTCATAATTAAGTAGGCTATAAATTCATTTTTAGCGTGACCTATTTGGTAATATCGCTAGAACTTGTTTTAGGAGGACTTAAAAGTTGCGGCTAGAATATGGGGCGTCGGGCTATATATTTCACAATGCAATTGTACTAGAAAACAAACAGTTTGCGCTTTTGGCAAATGCTGATTTTAAATGAGATTGAAACTGAAGACCCACAACTTGATAATCTACTCACTTAGCCATTTTTTTTTGCGGATGGAAAATCATCTAATGACCCCTTTCGCTCTGGGTGGAGCGTAAGGGAGTGTCAGACTTTTACTGACTAAAAACCATCCGTGTTCCTTCAGTGCCCTTACGTTCCGGAGCCGCGGTATCTCTTTCGAACAGCCCGCAGCCCCGGCAGGCGTCGGCCCTTGCGGGCCCCTTCACGCTGCTGACAGCTCTTTGAGGCGCGCGTGGAACAAAACGCGCCGTCGACACGGCCTGTCGTCATTAGACGGACGGACAACGAGCTACTCATTGCTCGCCGTCCACAGGCCCGCGCCTACGGTGGCCGGGGGCCCCCGACGCCCGGGGCGTCTCCCGCACTCACTTAGCCATGCAGTCTGAAATAATTTAGGCTCAAACATAGCATCAGAAATAATCTTGATAAATTACGAATGTGTTTGATGTATGATAGCTTTATTTGATTATTCTTTAAGTCATCATTACATCCCTTTACAAGTCCATTACTGAATGTAGGCCTACTCCAAGAAGTACAACAAAACGCAGTCGACTGCTATCGTGGTAGAATCAGTCCGATCAGTAAACTAATGTGGCAATTAAGCCAGCTCGAAGGACCAAAAACCAACTGAAAGAAAAGGTTCCCGAGAGGCAGCCTCATAACGCTTACCGTTACGGAGTACAAATTGGACATGATGGAGTGACGACCAACATACACATATATGTCTTGTCTTACCAGGTCATTTCAAGTAACATTAGATATATTATTTAATGTACATACAGAAAATGTTAATGGAAATAGGATAATTTTCGATGTAGTTATCTTGTAGGATATAGAGTATATATCTTAGGGTATAGAGAGGCACTATAATAACAGGCTGTGAGGCATTCCATCTTAGTCCTCGGAAGGATTATCTGTATTCTCCTTGGTTTGAAGGTGCTACGGTAGCCACCTACCACAATGTAATTAATTTGTTACTTTAATTTAAGAAAAAAGTATTTTGGAGGACATATATAAATCTACCTAAGTGAAGAGCGTTCGATACACCCATAATGATGCATATGGATGGAGATATGGAGCAGAATGACGTTGTGGTGGCGCTGTCGTCACGCCACAATCATTGAAGCCTAAATCGCGCTATCAAAGTTCTGAAGAAAAAACAGTATATATAGAGTAGCTCCGAACTATCGCACGGAGCGTTGGCCGCTCCCCGGGCAGAACTCCTTGATGGGAGATCTCCCCTTTTCCTTCAACCGCCAAAACGTCGTCAAGTGATCGTGCAGTGTGGTGTTGCGGCATAAACTGAAAGTTCCGTGGCGCAATGACTTAGCAATAAGTCGCAGTGCTAAAAGCCACGGGTTCAAATCTCACACGGAGAAAGTATTTGTATGGTATACAAAAATTGTCGTTGGGTGTTGGTCCTTGTGAAATTAATGTATTTAAACAACCCCCACGATATAGGAGAAAATCCTAGTGAGGAGGTTACCTTAAAAAATAGATCTAGCTCAAAGGACCGAAAACCAATAGGAAGGAAAGATTCTCGAGTGGTATTCTCATAACGGTAAGTAAAGTGTAGGTTGGACTAGATGGAGTTATGACCAAGTAAGAACTATGTCCTACTATGTCATTTGTAGTAACTTTAGATATATTATTTAATGTATATATATATATAAATATAAATATATATATATATATATATATATATAAATATAAATATATATATATATATATATATCGATGGCCCCAACGAATAAACGTGCAATCGTAAAACGACAACTTTTCAGGAAGATATAAAAACGTTTGGAACCACATAACTTTAATTACATAATAAATAGACAAATATAATGTGAGGTAAAAAAGATATCTTACAGCTCATATATTTATTATAAATGAAATATTATCGGTTTACTACATTATTTAAGAAAAACCGTATTAAATTATTATTCTAGTGAATAATATGTGACTTGTTAACATTATTGTATCACTGCACGTTTATTCGTGTCATAAATGAAGCTTAAACAAGTGTAGTGAAATGTTGCATGGTTATTCCACGTATATTTTTTCCCTGAGCCTTGCTCTGGTCATCTACATACTTATTCTTGTATATTTTGTTGCTTTTACATATTTGTAAAGATAAAGGCCCGTATATTTGTGTTAACAAGATCGACTCAATATTTATGTAATACGACTTTATTAGTGCATGGTATATAATGTAAATTAGCTATTTTTCTTTTGTTGAAGGTTCAATAAAAAATATTGTTAATAAGAATAATTACTATTTATTTATCCAATTTAGAACGAAGTAGGTACTTATCAAGTATATTATTACTAAAACAAAAACAAGAAAAATCTAACAGAAAACAACTAATAAGTGGTAACTAATAATTCTCCTCGTCACTATCGTTGGTAACTGAGGTGGAATTTAATGGCACTAGATTTCTGTAAAAACACTGGTAATGGTTTGGTATGGCTCCCGAGTCACACAGACTTATTAAATCTCTATATAAAGGAAGAGGTATGGGCAGCATTCCAGTGTATGAGAGTTTTAGGTTTTCAGCGTGTTCTATAGGTTCCCCTCGTCGCCTTCGTGAGTTAGTCCTCGTAATAGCTTGCATCTCTTGTAGTTCGTCTTCAAAACTGTATATAAAGTAAACTGTATCATGTTGATTATAAGGAAAAATTACTTCTTTAATTTTGCTCCAGTAAATTTTATTACCATCTGTATCTTTTAACCAATTCTTCCCTTTAATTAATTCTTTAAAATCTATGAAATCAGCTTGCGTCATTTGTTTTACTTGATACTTATGCCCGGTAACTTTGGCATTCTCTATCAAGGAATACATTTGATCAGGTGTGTAGATAGTATGCTTTTTCTTAGAACGCTAAATAGCAGCATGCATAGAATCGCCCTCCGATTGGCTATGATCTTTCTCCAAAAACCTATGTGTTATTTTTATGTTGTATTTCTTCGCCGCTAAAGAAAACATGGCGAATACGAAACGATTACGATTTTGCCCTGCGCATGAATCAGAATAAAAGGATATGTTTTTTATTCCTAATTCAACGTGTGCCTGGATAAATGACCAAAGACAACTAGCTATTTCTATCCCACCCCTTTTCGCAATTTGACAATACCAGACGTAGCAGTAACCTTTCTTCTCTAAGATATTATAAATCGTGAATTTGTATACAGGATACTTTCGTTTATAATGAAATATGCCTACTTCACTTTGGGGGATATTTAACACTTTTTCCAGATCAAAACATGCTACAACACTGTCACCTGAACAAAATTTTTCCTTTTCTTGTTCCTTTAATTGCCTTACCACTTGTTTTTCTTTCAAGTGCTTTTCATAGTCAGCTTTTAACTGTTCTTTTCTAACATCATCAGAAGTTTGGTAAATTGAACATATTTCATATAAATCTTTTTTAGGTTTGTGAAAGGATAGGTTAAACTTCGTATTAAATATTATTTCATACTGCCGTTTAGTTGCTCTGCATGTTTGATTGTACTGGTGGTCTGTATCTATCCATTTTAAATATAGTCGGTGCATTTTACAGACATTCAATGTTTCACACAGATATTGCTTTTGACTATCTTTACGAGTATTCTCTTCTGACATTATTCTTGGCCTATTCTTATGAGTTCCTCTGTAATCTTTTAAATATCTAAAATATATATAATCTCCCAATTTATCAATAGCTGTGTATACTACTTGCTGTGTAATAGACAAGGTACTTAAAAACATAGTTTTACAAACTTTAATCATGGAATTAGTATCATCGAATAGTTCATATGTTAATGTTTGTAGTACGATTATTTTTACGTTCAACTGTAATTTTTTTGACGTTTTCTTTTTTTACATGGCGGTTAATAAAATCCCACTGTCTTTCGTGGTCCCCGATAGCCCAAAAATTTTGAAAAATTTTACTCCTCATATTTTGCTGTATCATTTTGTAACATTTCAGTTTGCAGTTGCATGGTGGACCTATAGATTTTTCTACGTTTTGCTTTTTAGTTCTAACACTTTCATAACTTTTATCAGTAGTCTGTAAATCATCATTATTATTTACAGATTGCAATGGAGTAGGGTATTCCATTTCAGGTAGTAATGATTCAATAACATTATGATAAATATCTAAAATGTCATTTGTTGGTAAATTTGGTGGTGTGGTATGATAATACCTCACCACCAAATTCAATTCAACTCAATAATCATGTGGAGATACATTTACTACTATTAATGGAGCCGGTGTAATAAAATCATCAGGTTCTGAGTTGACTTCTTTGAGGTCTGATATGCCATCAATGGGGAAAGAACTTCGCGAAAGATATGTAAAATTTTCTGAAACAATTTTACACAATTACTCAAATGACTACATTACTATGTTTTCAATAACTATTTATTTACAT